GCCTCTGTGCAGTGCGTCACCCGCTGACGAGTAGGAGTGAACTGGTGGACACCCGCATCCTGTAGGTCAGCACCACTCACCAGGTTCGTAGAGAACGAGGGGAGGTAGAGACCAGACAGGGTGCCAGAGGGAGCCGCCGGACACGGGAGGACTGTGGAGAAGCGAGACAGGACAGGACCCCCAGAGGGGTAAGCCAGGGACACCGGAACCGGCCGACTAAGCGGCGTGAGTGTGGTGCGGTCCCGAAAGAAGGAGCGAGACGCCCCAGAGTCAAGGGTGAAGGTGAGGGAGGCCGAAGCCGACGTAGTACCTGAGAGCGCAGACTCACTAGTACCTGAGAGCGCAGACTCACCAGTACCTGAGAGCACAGACGCACTGGCACCTAGAGCAGTAGCCTCACTAGCACCTAGAGCAGCAGTACCAATGCCCGGGTCGGGCGGGAAACACCGGTAACAGTCACCCTCATCACTAATAGTCACAGCATACATGGCAGCAAGGATAGCATCAAAGTCAATATCAAAGATAGCTACACCAGCCCTAGACATCTCTCCCCAGCGGGGGATCTCAGTGGCCTCCGGAAACTGCTGGCGCCAAGCGTCCGTCAGGCGGCCAAAGCAGCGCTGGGCGGGGTGGGCGCCCCCACACTGCTCACCCGCGTGGTCGCCGGTGCGAAGGACGTAGGTGCAGGGACCAAAACCCCCACCACGCTGACGCTGCGTGTACCACTCACGGAGCTGCTGAGGGGTGGGGACGTCGCGAGAATGCTGCTGCTGCTGCTGCTGCTGGCGCTGACCACCCCCAGTGCTGCTCCGCTGCGAAGCGCCACTCCGACCACCTCCACCACCTCCACCTCCATCGCCTCCACCTCCGCCACCACCGCCGCCCCCGCCAGTAACGCCGCCGCCTCCGCCGCCTCTGCCTCCACTGCCGCCACTATCACCTCCACCCCCGCCACCACCTCCACCACCACCCCCACTCCCTCCGCCGCCTCCACCTCCACCTCCACCGCCCACGCTAGCTCCACCCGCGCCCTTGCCCCCCTTGCCCTTGCCAGAGCGGCGTCTCCCGCTAGGGGCAGATGCCGCACCGACCGACTCAAGACCAACGAGGTCGGCCGCAGCGGCAGAGGCGACAGAGGGCAAAAGGGGGAAAGGAGAACACCCCTCAAAGATGGGGGTGCGAGGGTCACCACGAGAGGCCCCTACATGGACTATGCTCTTCTCGGCCGCTAGGAGGGACTTCTCGAGGAGGTCTACAGTGAGAGTGGTGGGACAGACTGAGAGGAAGTGGTCCCTGACTACACGAAGGGAGTCAGGGAGACGAGTGACTATGAAGTAGAGAGTGATGTACATGGGGGGGGGGGGGTTCGTGACGCAGAAATCAGCAGGAAGCGCAGCGCGGTAGCGAGTGTCACTAGTGCGGAGGTGCGTAATGAGATCAGCGACTGTGGGAAAGGCAGCAAGGTCAGGGAAGAGGAAGGGTAGCATGAGGCGGCTCAGTGCAGCAGTGGCAGGGGAGGAGTAGCGCGCAACTACAGCGTCGTACAAGGTCTGAGCACTCTTGTACGACTAAAGTGCGCGCGCTCAGCAAGAGGCAGGTGGCGACACACAGCAAGACGTGCAGCAGCGTTGCGTGTGGCCCACTGGGAGCGAACAGTGGGGTCAGCATCAGCAGCAGGGGCAGGGACGGCGCCAGAGGTGAGGTCAAAGAGAGAAAGACCGTCTGCCCTATCGCACTGTAAGAATAGCTGCAGGTCGTCGACCCAGACCTCAAAGTCAATGGCGCGACCCTCAGCGTCAAAAGCTAGGACACTAGGGGTAGCCATGACAGCAGTCGACGTTCTCACCAGACAGGGCGGGTCGGGCAGCACAGCAACACGGCAACACTGCTGCTCGGCCGGCACAGCAGCAACTGCAGCTCCGCGGGACCAGCGGCTCGGCTCCTCAGGTGACTCGGGCGGCTCGGGCGGCGCAGGCGGCTCGGGCGGCTCGGGCGGCTCGGGCGGCTCGGACACTCAGCGGCACAGGCGGCTTGGGCGGCTCGGGCGGCTCGGCTCCTCAGCGGCACAGGCGGCTCGGGCGGCTCGGGTGGCGCAGGTGGCACGGGCGGCTCGGGCGGCTCAGGTGTCACAGCGGCGTACGGGCGGCGTGGGGCCGGGACGGCGGCGTACGGCCGGGACGGGTGGCGCACGGGCGGCGTGGGGCCGGGACGGCGGCGCACGGCTGGGACGGGTGGCGCACGGGCGGCGTGGGGTCGGGACAGCGGCGTGCGGCCGGGACGGGTGGCGCACGGGCGGCTTGGGGGAGGGCCGGGACGGTGGCGCAGGGCCGGGACGGGCAGCGCACGGGCGGTTTGGGGCCGGGACGGCGGCGAGGGGCCGGGACGGGCGGCGCACGGGCGGCGCACAGGCGTCGACGGGCCGGGGCAGCGGCGCGCGGCCGAGATGGGCGGCGCACAGGCGGCGTGGGGCCGGGACGGGCGGCGCACAGGCGTCTAGGGGCCGGGACGGGCGGCGCGCGGGCGTCTAAGGGCGGCGCGACGGCGGCGTGGAAAAAAAAAAAAAAAAAAAAAAAAGTTGTGGTGGGCCCTAGGTAGCGTTCCCACTAGGGAACCTGCTCTGAAACCATGAGAAGAAACGAGAATGAATGAACTATGAATGAAGTGAGTACATATAGGAAACCCTGATTGGGTTGTACCCCTTATGGGATACCCCACTATAGCCTACACAACAGCATAAGCTATGATGTTCTGACACCGCGTAGCTCCCGTCGAAGTAATGGAAGATTTGGGCGTTCTGCAGCAAAAGCTCCAATTCGAAGCTCCAGGTATAGAAGTCTCTGCCGTCAAAACAGGTACTTGTCTTTATTTTTGATATGCTGAGAAACCTTGATTGAGCGGCGAGAATTGCCTCTTCACTGGGACGAGGAGTCTTGGGGGTTGAGCCATTGGTGTCGAGGGAAAAGGTTTGGCCGGTCGGGGCCGGTTGAGGGGGTTGCGAGGAAGTTCCCGCATCGCCGTTTCGCAATGTTTGGAGTCCTTGCTCCAAGCTGGTAAGTCGCTGAAGAAGTTGTGCGAGAGCGTCGGAGTCGATTGTCGTCGTGTTCCCGCTTGTCGCAGCTGGGATGGGTTGTGCTTCAGCCGTCAGATTAGTCTGACCACCAGATCCTCCGGCCATCCTCGTGCGTGATCGTGTGCCGTTCGCCACTTTCCAAGTGTCGTAATTTTCGGGAGTGACGGTGCGAAAGATTCCAGAGTCGCTCTCATACCATGCTGAGATCAGAAGTTGATCGTAGCCCAGGATCTACTCTGGTAGGTTCGCACGCAGTGAAGTAGTGTTGGTGGGCCCTTGACCTCAATAGCAGAGTGAATGTAAGATGCTTGAGATGATAAAAACATGCAAATACAACGATATAAATATGAGTACAAGGGAATTCGAAACGACCTAACTAGCCATGTACTCTAAGGGGTACATTCCCTTATTCAAATGCATCCCAACCGTTCGGCGCGTACGGTTTCGTAACTGTTCCTGCCAAAACCCTCCTGCCTGCAGCTGTCCGATGCCGTTTGCTTCCGACGGTTCAGATGTGCTGTAACCGTCCGACTCTTTGACTCAATTCCAACCGTCTGACGCTTGCGTTCGTTCCCCGATATTGTCCGCTCTTTGCTACCGGTGAGGAGTGCTTAGTAATATCGAATATTATTATTCGTAACAAGTTCAGGCAGCGCAATCGTATAGTTGTTGGATAAGAATCGAGTGGTTGAGCGGTCGATTCCTGCCGATATCAAATCGAGTGGTAGATATGTCTCAATTACTATGTAATAGAACAAAAGATGTGATTTCCTCATAAGCTTCGCAACCCTATGACAATTTAGTCGTCTCTTGCTTTAGCTTAAATTACTTGCAACCCCTGGGTGACATACATAATATTTTTGAAGTAATTTAGTTTTAGAAACATGTCATTGAACTGAATCGTGATTTTTTCACTTCGCAAAATATATCGCCAGCGATTACACGGGGGGTCCTTTAGGTGGGAGTGGTGATCAAGGTGAAGAGCATAACGTGCATCATGTGCTGCACAGTAGTGACTGCAATTGGACAAAACAAGTCAGGTAAAGGTAAAGGTTATGGGGAAATCCCCTTGGTATTACCCCGACTGTCGGTCGTAACCCGCCTACCCATTCATTTACACGCCTCGCTGGGTAACGAGGTTGTTGTATCCACTCCCAGATGAGCACCTGTATAACCCCCTTCTGGGGGGCTGGCAGAACACGCCGCAGGGGGGATGAGTTGAACACACCCACTCGATATCCATCGTCCCTCACTTGCCGCATCAGCTCGAATCTATCCCCCTCAGGAAAAATGACGTCATGGCCATGGCGGAGAGCTTTAACTACCCCAATGTCCATCAATTTCTTGCCTGATGCCAACATTTAAGTTACCAGGCGACGCGCGGTTACAGGCTCTTTACAATGGTGCTCTTTTAATGTTCATTACGGGAACCTAACCACCATTTGTTTGAGTTCCAGGCTGTCGTCCTTGCTTCAATATACATCCAGCAAGTTTACTTTGAACGACAACAATCAAGGTTTCAAGCCTCTCCACGGATACTATCGCGCGCCATTACTACCGTTTTCATCCAGTCGCGTCGACATCAATGACACCCCAGAAATCGACGCATCATTTCCCAAGGATAACTCTCCTCGAGGGTGTGGGCCAGTCTCAATGGTTGCTCTTGTCGCCTCGGGTCTGGACCTGCAGAGGTTCGCTTTTAAACACAGGAGAAATAAGACACTGGAGATGTTGGTGCTCAGATCAGCTTGTCCTACAGCCAGTCTCAGGCTGTCAAGCTTCTCTCATCATCGCACAATGGTGAAGCCGCGTAACAACAAAGCTGGCAAGAAGACGGAGGAAAGGTGGCCGCGGAAAGGAGCATGCGACGAACGTAACTGACGTACCCGTGCCTGACGCTGCTGACAAGAGTCGGCCCAGTTCACCAGCGATGCCTGCCGTGTTTGGTCCTTTCGAAGACCTGCTAGATCTGCAAAACAAGGCGGATAATGCTGCTAACCCTGGTGACGGTACCGCTGTTGACGAGGCTGATTCTGAAGGACAAGATCAGGGCCCGGCGAAGGAAGATGCTGCTGATACGGGCAATAAGGATGATGAAGAAGAGGACTTGTCTGATCCGGTCCCTGAGGATGAAGACGATGGGTATCTGAGCGATGGCTCGGACGAGCACCTGGAATCTGCTTCGCTTTCCAGTGCTTTGGCTTTGAAGCGATTCTCACTAACCTTGCTGGTGCCGATCCTCAGGAAAGCAGAGGTTAAGCGCGCGGCTGTGACGATTGCTGCGTTGTTGGATGACTGGAAGGACCAGTTAACTCCGGATGTGCTGCAAACAACGACCTACCAGGAGCTCACGGCGACCTTTTTCTCCGGCACACGCTATGGTTGGCTGCAAGTCACGTTTAACCACGTCAGAGATGCGAACTTCGTATGGAACCAGGTCATCAAGCATGAGTGTGTGAATGGGGACATCATCGATCTTACCTGGCAGTTCCCTGAAGATGCGCGTTTCCTCCGTGAACGCGTTCTGAACCCGTTGGCACAGGAGGTGGTGGTCAAGGGGGTGCCAGCCGAGATCTCTGCGGAGCTTATTCGCCATCTGCTGGTGGTGTCAAAGCTGGTCAAGCGAGGCAGGAGTGCCTTCGCCAGCGGCTTTGGCTTTCACCGAACGCTGGACTCGGTTTCTGGGCTCGATACTGACCGTATTCGCGGGCTGGTAGTTCCCCACGCCGACGATGAGTATCGCTGGAGGTATTTTGTGGAAGAGCCGACGACGAAGAGACGTTACCTGCTCCACTACCCATCACTCACCTGCGAGTTCTGCAGTGGTCCGCATATGTCGCGCTATCACGACCACTATGTCACGACAAGACAGGAGAATTTTACCAGCTGGAACCTGTCGGTTAAAAAGGTTCATGACATGAACGGTACTCACCGAGCTGATCCGCACGCCTTTTCTTTGCAGTTTTTACCGCTTGCTCCACTTCTCATACCTTATCCTGACAATTTTCTCCTTACCGTTCCTCGCAGCTGCATCCCTGAAAGCCACCACCCTCCTGAAACGTATCCTGAAAGATCCTGCAGTTATTCTCACCTCCACAGGAGGGATGCGGGAGGAGTGGGTGTGTGTGCAGACCGTGTGCGAGAAGGCACAGGGGAACCGGTTCGAACAAGCAGCGGCTCACGTTGCATCTGCCAAGCACAAGGGGGGTCTGCGAACAGAAGGAGCGGCAACCCGCGCCAGCAAGAATTCCCAAAAGATGGCTGCTTTCAAGAAGGACTTCATTGTCAAGCAGTCAGCGAAGTGAACAGCGGCCTGGTCACGTGCACCTCGATGTGAGTGGGGGAGGCAACAGGATGGTTTCTGGGAGCAGGTTGTGTAGTCGGTGCCATGCTCTCTTTCGCTGTAGCTGGCTGTATCGTCGCAATAAAACTCAATCGCCCGTGGATGCGGTGGGGCTCAAAGGAGTGGTCAAATGAATAAGCACAACAACCTAACTATTCTCGATCTCAACATCAACGGGCTCGGTAGCAGTGGGAAGCAAGAACGGTGTGCAGCATGGATCAGGAAAGCAGCAAGCATTGTAGTACTCACAAATATGCGTGTTCCAGCCGATCACAATTTCTAGACGCAAATTAGATCAGAGGCTCAGGCGGTGGTTGGCCCATCGCAAAGAGCAGGAGGGGTAGCGGTCTTAGGCTTCCTGCCTGGGATGCGGTTCACAGAAGTCAGCAAACATGCATCTGGTCGACTCTTGAGCCTGTTGGTATCCTGGCGGGATCTGAAGTGCAGTATAGTGGCAGCGTATCTACCGGCGCAGGCAACCGCTAGGGGTATCTTCTTCCGGGATGAGCTATCCCCCTTCGTACAAAGCCTGGACGCCTCCCCCCATACAGTCCTCATAGGAGACCTGAACGTTGTAGCAGATCCGGAGCTGGAAAAGTCCTCGAAGCTGGGGACTCTGGCGGAGAACCAGAAACTTCTGCAGATTTGCTCGAGATGGGATCTGCAGGATGCATTCCGGAGTCTTCACCCGACGCGCAAGGAATTTACTTTTTTCTCCAGATCTGCAAGGATGAGCACACGGATTGACAGGGCATTAGTTTCACTCTCCCTGCTCGGAAGTGTAACGGAGGCAAAGCATTGTATGGTACCCTACGGTCTGACTGACCACTGGTTTGCGGTGAAGGTGTCGCTCAAGGCGGCGGCAGCGGATGATCATGGTCCTGGCTTGTGGAGGCACCAAACGTCTCGTCCCGGGGTTGATGGGGTCAAGAACATCATCTCAGCGGCGGTGGCGGCGCATAAGAGCAGCTCAGATCAAAGCCTGGAGAGACTTGTGATGAACTTGCGAGCATGCATGCGGGCTCATGTAGCAGAAGAGAGAAAGAGGGTGAGAGCGACCTTGGCACATTTGGAGCGGAAGGTGGAAGAGCTGCGGTGGAAAGTGATGGCTGACGCGAAATCGCAAGTCTTGTACGAGGAGCTGGTCAAGGCTGAAGCAGCGCTCAAACTCTATCAAGACAGTAACAAGGAGCGGCTGTAGGTCATGACGGGGCTGCTGATGGAGTTGGCGAGCGAGACGCCCTCCGGTTTTCTGTCGGGGCTGGTCAAATCGAGAAAGGCAAAGACGGGGATTCTGGAGTTAGTACTCAAGGGGGTGCAGAGGAAAGGGGCGAAAGAGGTGTTGCAGGCGGCTTCAGAACATTTCAGAGAAGCGTATGCGGAGTCAGTGCCAAACCATGCCATGGAGCCATGGCAAATAGATGAGAGCAGAATGCTGCAGGAGAAGGACCAACTGCAACTAGGAGCGGAATGGTCGGAAGAGGAGGTGAAAGCGGCGCTCAAGGGTCTACCATTGGGGAAAGCCCCGGGGCAAGACGGCCTAGCGAAGGAATTTTTTTAGCACCACTGGGAGCTACTCGGCCCGGCTATGATGAAGGAGGTTAAGGGCTTCGAGTCGACCAGGGTACTCTCGGAGGCGTTCACAACTGCGGTCACCATCCTGCTACACAAGAAAGGAGACAGATGTGATTTGGGCAATTATAGGCCGATCACTTTGCTGAGCTTCTTCTACAAGTTACTGGTGAAAGTGATGGCGAACAGGATCAAACTTGTCTTACCGCGGGTGATCTCGGACAAGCAATTCGGCTTCCTTCCGGGGAGGAGCCTTGCTGACGCGGTCTCGCTGGTAGTAGATGTAATTGACGCTGCGGAGGAGGAGGATGAAGATTGGCTGCTGTTGCTGGTGGACTTTCAAAAAACTTACGATTCCGTGTCGAGAGATTACCTGTTCAAGACGCTGGGTGACATGGGCTTCACGGAGAAATATGTGCGCTGGGTAAGAGGTCTGCACGCCGGAGCAGCAACCAAGATGCTGCTGAACGGTTGGGTAGGAGATCGTGTGGCGATGGACAAGGGTGTGCGACAAGGTTGTCCGCTCGCCCCTTATCTCTTCCTTTGCGCGGTGGAGCCACTCTGCCAGGAAATAGGGAGGAGAAATCTGGGAGTTCGGAAACGGGGGGTGAAGGGGGAGCTAGCCTACATCGGATACGCTGATGATACGACTCTCGTTCTGAGAGGGAAGGAGCAAGTGGTTACAGCGGGAAAGTTGCTCGACGAATTTGCGGAAATTTCGGGGCTGAGGGTGAACAGCAGCAAAACGACACTGATGCCGCTGGGGAAGAATAGGAGGAGGCTGCAGCCGATAGCGTCACCTTTCACGTGGGCTGACAAGGACAAGTCGGAGCGGTTACTTGGAATCTGGATAACATCTGGTGGGTCGCCGGGTCCTGCATGGGACAAAGCATTTGAAAAGGTCAGCGCGATGCTGAGCTGTTGGGAATCAAAGCATCTCAAGACGTCGGCGAGAGTCACAATATTAACAGCTACGCGATGCCGATCTTGCTGTTCCAAGCACAGATCTACGCCCCGCCGCATGATATCTGGACCAAGGTGAAACGGCTATGTCACAACTTCATCTCGGGTGGAAGAGCGCTTCTTGATCGGCACTTCACCCTTTGGAGTTACGAGCTGTCGTGCAGGGGAAGGAAAGAAGGGGGTCTGGGAGTGATTGATCTAAAGCAGCGGATTGACAGCTTTGTGATACAGAATTTGGGAAAATTTCTGACGGAACAGGTGCCGCTGCGGAACTGGTTATGGGAGAGAGCGGCCGGCTTCCCACTCGGGCTGGCCACGATTTACGCCCATCCCTCAGTGCTGAAGCATTGGCTGGGCGGGGGTACGAGGTGGAAGGCGGCAGTGAAGGCGCTGTGGGAATCGAAGATCGTGACCATGGGCGACCCTATACACAGATGGGATGCGGAGGAGAAGCAGCTGCTTTTTAACCGCAAGATATTCTTCAGGGGCGGTTCGCCTTTCGGAAACCAGGCGGGCTCGCACTGTTTGAAGGGTGTCCGTCTGGGGGACCTGTTAGCCAAAGGTGCAAATGGCAGCAGAAGTCTCAAAAGTGAGGTGGTCCTAGAACAGGAGCTGGGAGGTGCGGAACAGAGGAAGTGGGCTCTCAAAGCATGGGAAGCAACGCCCCAGAGGTGGAGGGATTTGCTACTCAACCAATTGACAGCGGAAGAGGTTTTTAGGGAGACGGCGCTTATTTGCTCACCGTCTTACCGGCCGGGAAAGTTCCTCTACTACCAGCTGGAACACGTGGAAGACGGCGTGTTGTACGGGAGGATGGTGGAAGTGGATAAAAAAGGTTTCATATCGGTGGTGAGGTACGCTGACGTGACGACGGTGAATTTCCTACAAGCTACGCCCATGGCGGTCATTGACGGGAGAGTCCCCGGCCCGCTTGGAACCCCGAGAACAAGGCTGCTATACACTCCGATCTGTGAAAAAGGGGAGCGAGCCGGGCTGAAGCAGCTGAGGAAGGTGATGAAACCCTCTTTGTCTCAGCCAAAGCAGCAGTTGCAGTGGGAGGAGGTGACAGGGAGGAAAATCGATTGGGGGAAGGCCATCACGGTCCGGGACTCTTTGGCAACCCCATGCAGAGCGAGGGAGGTGGTGCTGAGGCTGCACAGCAACAACCTGCAAGTGGGGGAGAGGCTCCCTTTCCTGGGGGAGAGGGCGAAATGTGTGTACTGCGGAGGGGTGGAGTCGCAGGATCACTGTTTATTCAGCTGCCCGGCGATCCAGCCAGTGGTCAGGGTACTGAAGGGTGCGGTACAGTGCATGAACCCGGGCAGGGAAATGAAGTCCCTCGGAGACATGTTGTTCCAGGAGAGTGGCACGTCGTCAGGTTTCCCGGAAGCAGCCATCATTTCAATTACAGCACAGCAAGTGTGGCTGGAGAGGTGCAATGCGGTGTTCCGTGGCAGCCGGTTTCAGCCTAAGAGAGCACTGAGGCACATAGCGGTTGGCTTTACAAGACACGTGAAGATTTACAGCAGAGTGCGGAAACGGTCGGCTGGCAAGAGTGGTTCGAAGAGGACAGGGGAGTGGAGTCATCTGAATGCTGACGAGGCAAAAGCTTTGAACAGATTGTACGAGACCGAAGCCTCGATGATGTGGAGAGCAGGTTTCAAGGCCATATGGGAAGATGGCGGTGTAGCCTTTCAGCCCCCGTAAGGTGGAGGGGGGGGGGCTGGTTACCTGTAGCCACTTGCATGCCCTCCTAGAATCAGTTACGACTGCGAGTGTATGTATACATGTAGTGTACTTATGCTCACCAAAAAAAAAAAAAAAACAAAAAAAAAGAGGCAACGAAAACTTCTTAGGATTGCGAAGCGTTCTGCGAATTTACATAACTTTATAGTTCTAATTTTGAACATACCTTTGGTATGACACTAACTGGTACCTCCTCTCACTATGCACAGATTTAATGAACATCTGCAGGTATCGAACATGGGATCTCTCGATCCCACGTTCATTATTATACAACTGTGACAGAACTTGTGTCCAACGTAAATATCTAAAATATTCAGTTTGCAAATTGTGCGACGAATCTGAGACTACCCCTAGAGTTTGTCCGTCCCTTTTTTCTCCCGCTTCTCTTTTCTCGCTGGTCACGCTCTACCAACTTCTCCACCTACTCTAACTGCAACTTAGGTAAGAAGATCCCTCAGTTCTAACTCCAACTAAGTTAAATGCCTATTAGATAGACTAACATTCAGTCATTCCGTATCTTAACTGTGTAAATGTTTGAGTTTTAGCTAGACTTAGTTGTTTAAACTTAGGTTCTAGGCCCTTCGTAAAAATTTCAGGTTCTTCTTGTTTTTTTCTTAAGATTTCGTTTCTTTCTGCATAAGCTTGCATCTGTTTCTTCTATTCTTCATCCTTAACTTTTCC